GTTCCATCCTCGAAAAGATAGGTGTGATCTTTGTGTGGGCTTTGAGGAGGGGAATGTGGAAGAGGGGGCATACAAAAAGACAGCAGACAAGGAAAAATGCATGGGCAGCCCCAAAATCAAATACATCAAAATGGACCAGCAATCCGTTCTGCTATATCCACGCACCAATGCCTCTCCTTTGTACTACAAGACGAAATTGAATGTACACAATTTCACAGTATAGGAACTAGAGAGCAAGGACTGTGTATGTTATGTCTCAAATGAATGCGAAGGTGCTCTGACTGCAAATAAATAATTTGCTCCTTGTGTGGCTAATTTTTTGTCATCTGATTTGACTCCAGATTATTATATTCAGATATGGATGTGGTAGTATCAGAATTGCAAAGTCACAATGAGTTCTGCACTGTTACATTTCAGTTCTGTCAATGGTAAAACTGTAACATTAAAATTCCTAGAGAAGGGCTATACACAGATGGAGTTGAACAGTGTTCACAGAACATCTACTACCCAGCTGATTATGTCAGGCTAATGGAAGAAAGTAGGAAAGTGAAGCCATATGTAGTCAAGTATTTGACTCATTGTATCTTTTCTGATTTCATCAAACTAACCAACCAGAGTTTACAAATTAAATACAAACTGAGATTTGATCTTGGAGTAACTATTAATAGGAGAGGCCGTGACTCGCGTAACGTGAAGCCGCAGCAGACGACGGTCGGCCATGTTTGTGAGATCAGCTCAGTTCTCTCAGTTGTAAACTTAGTGTCGACCAAATGGCAGTTTGCGTGGCGTTCGGGTCTGGTGGGCCTCTCATTCAAAGGTCCCGGGTTTGAATCCGAGTAGTGAAGGAAAAATGTTGTACTGTAAAATTCTACATTCTCTGTCGTCTGCTTTCGTCTCCACTTTCTGCCCCCACCTCCTCAGGGCTCCGTACTCTTTCTGCAGCCTTTCTACTGCTTCTCATTAGCTCCTACTTACCTCTGTCATTCAGCCATACCCCTGATCTTCTGGTAAGAAAGATCTACCCCTATTTCGGACAAGGGCGAAAAAAACTCAGAGGTCCCGTATGCAAAAGGCGCACATTAGAGGTCCCTTAATGGACTAAAATCGATAAGAGTAGGCTGGGCCACCTGGGCAAAATTCAAAAGTTCCTACCAACTTAAAATGTTTAATGTGTCCCTCGCGCTCATATGACTTTATGCAGTTGCGAGTGCCGTAAAACACTTATAAGTTTTTTTAATATCAGTCTCAGGCACTGAACTTGATGACGAAGTGCCTTCTGATTTAGCCATAAATGCATCTCACAGTAAAAACAGAATGAAAAAGATTGAAGAAAATTCAGTTTGTCATGATGATAACTGCACGTTTGTGCCTAGATCTAGTCTGGCATACTTGTCAATTTGTTCTGAGAATACTGTTGCTTACATTGCTGGTTTTGTGTTGTTAAGGTTGACAAAGCATTTGAAAATGTGAAACCTTAGTTGACTCCAGTGTGTCAAATGTAACTTCCTTGCTGTTTTTGAAGTCTCGTCGGAGATTTGACAGTGTCTTCAAAGAATGTCATTGAAGTGTGTTTGGTGCGTGAATAACATTTTCTAACCCATGTGTCGTCTGTCTGTGCAGGGGGTGTGACATTGTCAAATGAGAAGAGTCACAAATTAGTGCAGTCTGTTTTGAAATTCTTATTATTATAAGCCTATCATTTCAAATTTTCTATTAATTTATGAATACCCTTAACCTCCTCGCTTTTTTTTTTTTTGGGGGGGGGGGGGGGTTTTTTTCTTTTTTTTTGTGGGGGTATTTTCCAC